ACAGTCGCTTAAACTAGTGGAGAAAAGATACACTTTCTATGGCAGATAGAAAATATTTAACTTAGAAGCCGGAGAGGGTATGATGCTTGTCTTGCAGGTGCCTGACCCAGGGTTTGATCCCCACCACCGTGTATGGTCCCCTGAGCGACACCAGGAGTGACTCCTAAGTAAGTCCTGAGCGCTGCTGGCTATGATCCCCCAAACAGTAAGCCAATCAACACAAAAGTTTATTTTAATTAAACTAAAGAGAAAGAGTGCCATAAAAGTACAAGCTACTAATAGTTATGCAGGCTGCAGAGTTTGCTAGAACTTGACAATATTATGGTTAAGTATGGGAAATAGAGTGCTTAAGGGGGAACGCAGAACTTCTGTGGGAAAGACGACATATAAGAAGAGCACACTGGATTTCCTCCAGCCAGAGATTCCGGGATATTCCCTATTTCCTTCTCTAATCCATCTGATGCCTACACAGAAAAGCATCTAACAGTTCTTCACAGAAAGTATGTCCTCACTAAATGTTCACCATGAAGTTTAATACCACCAGTCTCATGGTAATTCTAAGCCTCTTCCCCCGCCATCTCTTCTGCAAATGCCATATTTAATCAGGACTCATTTAAAGTATGAAGTCAGTCTACATCAATACAATATGTTGAATATAACAAGTGGCTTTAGTGACCATCCTCATTCTGTTACACTTATTTTGAAATAATAGTGTTACTGATTTCATAATCTTTTTTTTTTAAAAGGCAGGGTTTCATAAGGAAGACTTTTATATTATTAAGAACTACAAAGAGGTTTTAGTATCTATTCAATTTAGTAGTATTCAAGTCTACAGAAAAAAAAATCAATGGCAACTGCTTTATTAAGTCACTGAATTCCATAAAGCACACAACAATTTATATTGAACTAACAAGTTTGATACATGTATTAAAAATATATATGTAAATTTTATGTCTTAACATTTGATCTATTTAAAAAGTAGCTTTACATGTTTTACAACTTGAATTTATAAAATATATACATCCACCCTATTCAAATCCTCAAACATAAGCTTTCAGTTCTATTCATAAAATGCACAATCTACTGTGAATATTAAAATGAAATGGTACCAAATGAAAACAACAAGTTCATTTTGACTTGAGAACACATTTCACTCTTGGCTACTAGAAAACCAACCTAGTAAATCCATCCTTGCCCTCTATAGTTAACTAGGAAGAGACCTGCATTTTTATGGTTTTTCACACAATCTATCAAATTCCTTTTTCTTCTTGCTTCACGGTTTAAAATGAGAGAGGTAGGATTATTCAATCTTTCCATGTACCAGGAAATACACACGATGTTACACCTAGCAAATCAAGTCCAGTAAAAATTAAAATTTACTCTCCTGCTGTAAGAAAAGTCTAGAATCATTGTAGAAACAAACTTTTCTGAAAACCTTAACAGTTTTATGTGATATAAAACAAAATTGCTGAGCTGGAGCAACAGTACAGTGGGTAGGGGGGTTTGCCTTGCACGCAGCTGACCTGGGTTCAACTCCCAGTGCTCCCTGAGACTGCAAGGAGTGATCCCTGAGCACTGAGCAACTGAGTAAGCCCTAAGCATCGCAGGGTGTGGCCCAACACTCCCTGTCCCCCCAAAAAACAAGGATTCTTTTCTAAGCGGCACTCGACACAAAATCGGAATTCTTTAGATATATTAAGATATATCAGTTTCTCTCCAGGCATTCTCTGCACAGGTTCACAATGGCTTAACTTTGAATAAAGTTTTATTAACAACAATTTTTTTTATTAAAAAAAAAAAGCTAGTCAAAGAACAGGGAGACAAGTCCAAGGGTTGGAGCGTATGTTGGGGATGAAGCAGCACTCATTCCCCAGTTCAGTGACCATTACTGCATGGCCTCCCAAGCACCATCAGTGCAGACCTGGTGGACTCCAGCACCACTGGGTCGCCCACAAACAAAACAAATAGGTAATTTCCAAGTATCAGCCTGGTGATTACTAAACAAACCCAATACCAATCACAGTAACACCTCAATCACTACTACTATAGTCAGAAGCAGAACTTGAATGTAAAGGCTTCAGATCTAAGCTAGAAGTGCAAGTTTCAATTTCATGGGTCTCTAATGATAACGATATAATCAAGCCTGTCTTTAAGGTAATGCACAATTTATGCCAAGAAAGAAAAAGTCTCACACAGATTAACTAATTTTGAAAAACAGCTCCAAGCCGAAGAATGATCTGAGTCATTGAAATAATAAAACTATACAGCAAAATTATTTCATTCATTTGGGCTCTAAGGCTTTGGCAGTAAGTATAACCACCCAAAAGGGGAACAAAAATTCTCTCAATGTTGTTCTATTATAGTTAAAAGGCTCACTTCCCAAATAGTTACTTACCCAGCAAATTTATCATCTACTGATTAACTAAAGTAACTATCAAATTTTTTTGGTTTTGGGGAGCGGGATGTGGGGCCCATATCCAGCAGTGCTCAGGGTTTACTACTAGCTCAGCACTCAGGGATCACTCCTGCAGGCTTCAAGAGACTGTGTGGGTTGCTATGGATGGAACCTGAGTTCCATCCGCAAGGCAAGCGTCTAGCCTACTGTACACTTTCTCTGGCCCCTTGTATAAAGATTTTTTTCTATACTATGTATTTGTAGAATTTTTAATTTAAAAACTATGATGTACTTTTAATATGTTCCCTGTCCCACCCGCCCCCACCCCGAACTTCCTAATCCCAAAATAAAAAGAAAGTTAACAGGGAAACAGAAGAAGTGAAGGAAGAGAGAACTGAGAAATCAGAAAGGAAGAAAACCAAAGACAGGTACATTGGACACCCATGAAACAAAGACAAGAAGAAAAAGGCAAAACCAGACTGGGGGCTGGGCACACGGCTCGGTGGGGAGGGGGGAGCACAGGCCTTGCTGCCACTTGTGTGAAGTTCTGGGTGTGACCCCAGGCACCACAGAAGCAAAAAAATGAGCGAGATTGCTAAAAGTGATTCAGACCAGTTGGTCAGATTAAGACACTTTTACAGCTCTTAGTCATGCAAAGGCATCTGCACAACACAGAACAGTGAAGGTGATTTTGGTAAAGAATTCTTAGAAAAGAAACATATGGTTCAGCATCAGTTCGCCTTTTGGGGAGACCAACTTCTATGTACAATTATTCTTTTAAACATACATAGCTAATGCACAAAAAGTTAAAAGTGAGATCAAGGAATATAAGCAGCAGTAACCATAAAGGCTTAGAACTAGTGACACTGAATTCTTTATTAAAAAAAATTTCAACACACAGTACTTCCTTCTTCGCTTCTATTTTTAGGAAGAAGTTTGAACAAGTTTTCAATACCCCAATTCTCAAAATCAATAGGTTTAAAAAAAAAAGACTTGATAACTAGATACAAGTAATATGTGGTTACATGCCATTTTTTGTATTACTCATTGTCAACTCATCTTCGATCTAATTAGGGAACAATGAAAGCAATTCTTACATTTTTAGAATCTGAAGATATTATTATCCACTACAGGAATCTAATATTTTTGCATACACTTAAAATTTTAGGAGGAAAAAATGTAATTTCATTATTCTAAGTTGCTTTATACCAAATCTTTATAGCTACTTAAAATTAGAAAAAGATCAAGGATTAAGATCTTTCTCCAGATGAACTGCTGACTATATAGAAAGGTTACTTTTAAGAGTTTCTTCTAGGCATTAAAAATGCTTTATTTCCCGACTTGTTAAAAGAAGGATATCACACATTACAAGTCCTTCAGCGGCAAATATTAAATTCTTCTTAGAACATCATAAATATTATCTAAAAAATGTATAATCTTAAAAAAATGGAAAAATCATGTCTTTTTAAGATCTGTAGTATTAACGCCTGACATTATTTTTGGAGAAAGGGTACCAAGTTAGTTATCTGCGCATGCAAAACAAGGAGCTGAAAGTGTCACCGTTCTAACAAGAATTTGGCAAATCAAAGAAATGGCCTCAAAATAAATAAATAAATACGTAAAAAGGAAAAAGTATATACTGTCTAAATATGAATGTGTAATTCTGTCGGCCTACGGAGTTGATCGCCCTAAGAGGAACGAGGGCGGAGGGAAGCAGCATATTCCCTATATGTACATCTTCTTGGATCTGGCTCTCAACAACACACTGTGGAGAAATAATTCTTATTATTATAGATGAGTAATTGCCCTCTCCATAGAGCCATGACTTAGGTAAACGTCTTGTCTCCTAATAATGTAATTTACATTCAAAATTAATGTAATAGTTAAATCTGAGTGCAAAGGTGTTTTCAATGATTACTAACAGTTCAAGAGGTAATGAGTCAGGGTGTCATCTGCTTGCAAACTCCATGATTGGTGCTTCTCTGTTTTAGGCTACTCCATTTTGATTTCTTCTCTTTAAATCACAAAATGCACTAATGTTATTTGGTTTTTCTTAACTTTAACTGAATTTTATTTTATGGTAGCTCTCTGTATAGAGAAAGAGGTATGTTAAAACACTTTTACTAATATTAAAACCTCAACTGTGGCTACGTAGGTCTTAGCAATCTATAGTATAGCATTATTAGTCTTTGACCAGGTATATGAATTCCTTTGGTGAATAAATACCACAGGTCATTTCTCTACAAAAAGGATTTTAGTTAGAGGGAAAACAGGATGAAGAGATTCTTAGCCCCTCCCCCACCACCCCCAAGAATGGATCAAGTCAATCAGCAGTTTAGAGCAGTTATGTAAAATACAAAAAATACAATTTATAACTGTAGTTTTCATATTAAAAAGGAGTTAAAAACTAAGCGTCGTTCAAAAACTCCCCTTCCCCCCTTGGTTAAATAGGCCAATTAATAAGATAGGAACTACTGAGAATTCACATGCATGTCTAGTCAAGATAGAGCAGGAAGGTTTTAAATGGGGCTGGGAGATAGTTCAAAGGGCTGCAGTATAATATGCTTTCCATGGAGGCGCCCTGGGTTTAATCCCTGACGACTGCACGGTCCCAGAGCATCATACCAGGAGCAGCCCTTGAACACTGCCAGGAGTGGCTTTCCCCAACCCACCCCCCAAAAAAAAACAAAAATGTTTTTTCATTTTCAAAAGTGGTACATACTAAACTAGTACTATAAACAGCGTCCACAATTTGGTGGCTGGCCACGGTTTTAATTTTTTTCAAGTTATTTCTATAGCAGACATATTTTTGAAGTCTACCCACCCCTGAGTTCAGCGATTATTCTTTGAGTGTAAAATTATATGCCCTTAATTAACAACATGTAAAAAGCTACAAAATATTATCTATACAGAGATTAAAAACAATCTTTAAAATATTTTTTGCCGATTACTGATTCAATAATTTTGTTGGGGTACATATTTCACAATTTTCAGTCAACTGGCTTTTATTCTTAAGCCCATAATGATTCTTATAGTCATTGGAGGATGTCAAAAAGAGTGCAACAGGTATTAATAAAAATAACATTGTAGTATAAACAGATTTTGCATATGTGAAAAGGTAATTTATAAAATATATTAAGCACTTTTTAAAAAGATAATCTAGTTGTAACATCAACTGCCGTGGTACTGAGAATTGGACTTTTCAACAGTATCTTTCTATAGGAAAAAATGTTATCGAGCTGTAAGTCAAGTCTTTTAACTAGCTAAACAAATCCCGTCAGAAAAAAATTGTATGGCTATGTGAGACAAGTAAGCAAACATACCATTTTATAGTGTACTTTTGCCTAAATTTTAAAATAAAAATGTCCACACTCTTTTTTTTTTTTAAAACATTAAGCCTCTGTCAAAAATGTATTTCTTACTTTAGGATACAGGATAGAAGGACAAGATGATACAAGTAAAGAAATTTACAAGAAAAAACGTGACAAAAGTTTTCAATTAAAGTATAACATTCAAACTTGACTTAAAACATAACAAAGGAAAGAAAATAGCAAACAAAAATGTTTATGGATTTCCAAACATAAATAAATGAAATAGTGTTTAGGCAGTAGGGCTCATGCTGATGGCTAGCAGGAAGTATAACAGAGTGTACTCTACTTGGAAAAACTGTTAATGTACAAATAACAAGCCCAATTGTGGGCTGCAGCAGTTTATTCATCACTGCCATTTTTCTTACTTCCAAAATAAAGCCTTGATTAAATCATTCATACCCTATATTACTCATACCTTTACTTCAGAAATCGAGGATTTAATTATATACAACAAATGAATTTATTTTTCACCATAGGGATAACATATTGTACCTCTCTGCCAATGTCACTTGAAAACCTTCCATGTCAAAACAATTTGACAGCAGATATAAACAATTCAATAAATACGCAATGATCTTTCATTACAGTCCTTTAAAGATGCATGTTACTTCATGCTGTTAACCTTAGGATCACAGTGCATAGAATCCAAATACAAAGAGTTGGGGTAACTTTCAGAGAAATGTTGGATCCCACACTTTATTTATAATCCCATTATAACCGTAAGTTCATTTCATAGGCCCTATCATGCATTAATCATTGGGTGGCAGGAGTTAATGAAAATTTTTCCTGTTATTACGTCCATTGCCGGCAATGAACGTCCCAAAACCACCAAGGAAGTCATTGTTATTATTGCACAATACATGAGGACCTGGAACTTTTCCAAACGCTTACAAAAATAAAAATAAAAAATGGAATTATATTTGACATTTCCTGACACCTGCATTAATACTGTATGACTAATAAAAGCATGTCAGTTGCCTGGATTGAACCAGCGATCAACATGCGCCCAGAATGCACACGAGTAAAAATGCAGTAAAAGGAAGTAGTCTTCATTGCCTATAGGTCACTTCCAGTCAAAGGTTAAAGTTCAAAGACTGAATGATCAAAGTGCTCATTTTCTCAGTAGGACTATCTTCTGCTAGGAGGATGATAACAGTGGCATCAACAAGTATCATCTTTAAGAAAAAAAGAGAGAGAAAAGTAATTAAGTCATGTCTGTATAAGTACAATGAATTTAACCAAGAAATAATTTAAAGTACTAAGAGACTTTACATGTTCCTAAGAATAAAAAATTCAATTTTTGTTTAACTACAGAGCAATGAATCACATGCTATTCTTTTGGAAACCCAGTAGGTCACACAAATCTGAGATTACTGGTTCACTTAAAGCAGTAAGTTAATAGATGGTTTTAATATAGTCAGGACTTATCAATCGTACTATCGTTTTCATGGACAACAATTTAAAACCGTATCGAGACAGGAACTTAATGCTTGATCTTCACACAAAGTTACTGAACATACTTAAAATAACAGAATCCTAACTACAGCTGATAAAAATTTATGAGTGATTACAATCTCCCAAATAGAAATTCATGATCATTATTATTAGTTTGTTTAGAAAATATGTTTTCTAGCAAATACAGATATATCTATGCAAAGTAGACTAAAAAATTTTATATTTAGCATTATCACCTGATAGTGTGAACACATTATATTTACATAAAACATAATTTTTGAAATTTCAGACTTAACACAAAACTTACTTCACAAATCCTATCTGAGAAATTTATTTTGAGCACTAATCCTTCAGAAAGAAGTAAAACCAGTGGCACCTAAAGTTGTAAAAGTACCCAAAAAGAAAATTCTGAAGATGACCAAAATGTTTTACAAGTCATTTCATTAAGATTATATAAACACAATACTCTCATTCATAAAAATTCAATGAGAGCTAAAAACAGTAAATCTGACTTCTAGTTGAATAATCTATTAATTCTTTTGTATGTTTTTGGGCCACACCCAGCAGTGCACAGGGCTTATTTATAGTGCTGTGCTCAGGGATCACTGCTGGTCATGCTCAGGAGATCACATGGGGTACAAGGAACTGATCCTGGATTGGCTGCACCGCCCAGTAATTCATAATTCACTACCTTATGTTACAACCAAAAATATGAAATGAATTTACCTTAAAAACACATCTAATTCATTAGAATAAGCTTAGTTACTCTGCTTATTTGTTGTGGGTATTGGGCCACATCTGGCAGTGCTCAGGGCTCAACTCTGGCTCTTTGCTCAGGGATAATAACTCCTGGCAGTTGCTGGGAAATCATATGCAGTGCTGGGATTTGAACTGGGGTTGGCCACATGCAAGGCAAGCACTTTAATCCCTGTTCTACCTCTCAGGACCACAGACTAAGTTTGAAAAATGAATAGCTCGAAGAAAATGAGCAGAGATGGAGCACTTGCATTACATGCAGGAGTCCCAGATTTGATTCCAGCATCATGTGGTCCCCTGAGCCCTCCGAGGGGATACCCTAGGCGCTGGACTGGAAGTAGTCCCTAAGCAGGGCCAAGGGTGTGTCTCCTGTGTGTCCTCAGCTTCTGCATAATCCCTTCCTCCCCAAAAATATCTCACAAAAAAAAACATGAGTACTTTATATTCTCCAACTGCCACCTAAAAGTATGTTTCTAAGGGCTGGAGCAATACCACAGCAGGTAGGGCATTTGCCTTGCACGTGACAGACCCGGGTTCGATTCCCAGCATTCCATATGGTCCCCCGAGCACCGCCAGGGGTAATTCCTGAGTGCATGAGCCAGAAGTAATCCCTATGCATGCTGGGTGTGACCCCCCCCCAAAAAAAGTATGTTTCTATGCTGGGGTGATATAAGTCAGTGGAAGACTTCATGCACGGTATGCAATGAAGCCCTGGATTTGATCCCCAGCAAAAAGAAACACATAAACATGCCTGCATACACACATGCATACCCTATTTCTTATCTAAATTACTATGGAATTTAAATTTTAAAAAATGTATGTCATGGATGCAGAACACAGTTATGAATATAAAAAGGGGGGCTGGAGCAGTAATATAGCAGAGAGGATATTTGTGTTGCATGGAGCTGACCAGGGTTTGATCACTGGCATCCTATAGGTTCCCTGAGTACTGCCAGGAGTGACTCCTGAGCACAGAGCCTGGAGTAAGCCCTCAGTACAGCTGGACGTGGCTGTGTGTGTGTGTGCGCGCATGTGTGTGTGTATGTATGTATGTGTGTGTGTGTGTGTATATAATATGTATAATTCCTTAAACTAGAACTTCACAGGACCTAGGAATGTGGCTCTGTGGGAGAACACCTGTCTTGCAGAAGTGAAAGTAATTTTGATCCCTGGCACCACCCATATATTACTATGATTCTTGGTGGTCCAAGTGTGCAAGTCCCAACAAGCACCTCAACCAAACACTGCAACAACAAGAGAAGGTTGGATAGAACTATCACTTTTAAATGGACTGTTATAATCCTAGGGTCCTTGAAATTAAAACTAAAAACTAAAACTATTCATGGTTAAATCAGAAAAAAAGAGCTGGATAGTACAGAAGGAAGAAGGAAAGGAAGATGATGATAGGTAAGTGGAAAAGAAGTGGGCTGTCACCTTCAAGAACAAGAAAAAAATAAACTTGATATCCAGGTTTTTCTCTCAAAAGTTTAAGGAATTCAAAGTTTTTCTTGGATGAACTGAACTAAAAAAACTACAGCCAACAGAATTTAAAATATGTACTTATTTACTTTGATTTGTGATCCACACCCAGTGATGCTCAGTGGTCACTTCTGGCGGTAGTCGGGGGACCAGATGGGATGCATGGGATCAAACACGGGACGGCTGCTAGCAAGGCAAAAGTCCTGCCCGCTGTACTATTGCTCTGGCCCCATTATATCCAGACAAAAATAAACAACAAAACTGTGAAAGTAATCAAAGTTGGAACTCATGGGGCTGGAGCAATAGCACAGCGGGTAGGGCTTTTGCCTTGCACACGGCCGACCCAGGTTCAATTCCCAACACCCCATATGGTGCCCAAGCACTGCCAGGAGTAATTCCTGAGTACAAAGACAGGAGTAACCCCTGTGCATCACTGGGTGTGACCCAAAAAAAGCAAAAAAAAAAAAAAGTTGGAATTCATCAGGCATTTTATCCCCCATGGCATAAATAACATGGGGGAAACTGAAAGAAGAAGAATGTGCTTTTGGAAGACACAGTAACAACAAAGTCTCCAATGGAGACGTTACTGGAACCTTAATATGTAGGTACAAAAACAAAGGTGCCCTCTTGGCCAGGGAGGTGACTCCCATATGCCTTTTGATAAGGAAGCCTGGTTCGGCCTGTCCTGGTGCTGCACGGCCCTCAGAGTGCCACCAGGTGGCCTCAAGCTGTCTGTTCTCTACAAAGGTTTGTAAGTACCACCGGAAATTACAGTTACAAAGCAAGAAGAAAAGGAGTTCACTAATACCAATGTGAGACAATTATACATTCCTATCATTATCCTACAGAAAACAATACACCTGAATGGAACCTCAATGCAGTCTAGTTTGGCAAAACTAAAACAACAACTAAACTGTTCTCCAAAGATTGCAAACATGAATTTCTTTTTATTTTTTGAACACGGCCAGAGGTGCCCTAAAAACAAACACAACATCTAAATATTATGCCAGTTTACTTGCAATAAACCTAGTTTTCTAGAGTCTATACTTAACAGCAGCCTTACAAAAGTTACAACCATTCAATTCTCTATCACCTTGAGGAAAATATTTGGGAAGTACAAATCTATAATCCAACTGTGGGAAGCAATCCTTGATGAAACTATGCTGCAAATGCTGACATTAATCCCGGGCAACAAATTGGTACTAAGGAATTTCAGTTGGATACCTCACTGAAATATTACAATCTCATAGAGAATGCATCTTTTTCAAGAGCTATTCTCTGATTTCGAGGCCTAACTTATTTGTGCACTAAACTGAATGTATTCAATCAATTGCTGGGTGAAAACTTTGTAGTCTGAAGTCACAAGTAAAATTCCTTCTGTCATTTTGTATGCTGAGATGAACGATATATACAAATACCTGTTTTAGTTCTGTCTCTTTATTACTTGATTCTCTCTGCTCAATTGATTTTTCAAACCATAGAATTGGAGCCAGAGCAATAGTCCAGTTCCTGGCATCCCATATGGTCCCCCAAGCACCGCCAGGAGTAATTCCTGAGTGCAGAGCCAGGAGCAACCCCTGAACATCACTAGGTGTGACCCCAAAAGCAAAAACAAACAAAAACCCCTATAGAATCTTGCATTAATTGGAAACCCAAAAAATTTGTATTCCAGTGCAAGTATGACTATATTTCCTTAGCTGTGTAGAAAACTCTTATGAAAAGTGTTTCAAAAAACATAACATCCAATTTCAATTAATAATAATACATTAAGAGATAGAGAAAAATCTTACAGAATCTTTAAAAAAATCTAAATAATATACTGAAGTATAGTATACATAAAGACAACAACAGTATCTAGTGACTGGTTAACTTTTCAAAGTACAATAAGCAATACTGTGGAAGAAATCACAAATTTCAGGTGAGAAATTTTCACCCCCTCCCATCCCTCATCCCAGATACCCAGCACTGGTACTTCACAGCTCAGTTTTGGTATGTCACCCAAATCCTTGCTTTCTATACCAGAGATGAACGTAATTTCAGATGTGTTATTTTTAATAAAGTGCTTCAATCCTGCACCCAGAAAACACCTTAGAAAATACAAAAGTATCACTCGCCTAATAACCTTTCCTGGGGATCTGATGACACCTAACAAAAACTGACCCACATTAACCCAAATATAGTGATTAGCACCGCATATAACTGTGACTCTTGATTTCTAAAACCTCAATTAGTCTTCCAAAAGTAAAATGTTGAGTATTTCAGGGAGTTCACTTAGGTCCAAGTCTTTTTCACTACTAGTCTACGATCTTTTTATTTTACTTAGTAGATGACATCAGGACAATGGCCTTTTCTTATAATCCTTTTAGAATGAGATGATGCCAAAAAAAGAATCTGTATTTCTCGGTAGGAACACAATTAATGAAAAAAAGAATGGAACCAATGCAAATAAACAGAAAAATGTTAAGTTGACATCTAGAAGAAAATGAAACAAAGCCAAAGTGTTTTACTTCATGGGCATAATTATCTTCTTGTTATGCTTTTCTAAATTCAACTCTAGTGCCAAGGTGGGCTGTTTTTCACTTTGCCTACAATTGATACTCACCTGAGTTCTGGCGCGCGCACGGGCACACACACACACACACACACACACACACACGCGCACACACACACACACACACACACACACACACACAACAAAAAAAAAGAAAGAAAAAAAAAGAAAAGAAAAAGACAACACATATTATACAGCTAAAATGCTGTTTAAAGGTGCAGGAAAAGTTACGTGGGCGTGAAAATGGAAATGCCCCCAGTGATGCCACTGAACCACATCCTTGGGGGCCCATTCTACCTTTTGGGAAGGCGGGGGCGTGGCTTATGGTTTGGTGCCTAAAGGTCACTTCTGCTGATGCTATGGGAACTTGGAAAATGAAGGGGGAGAGCCAGGATCAAACCAAAGGCGCCCAAATATAAATCATGTGCTCCTACCCTTTACGGCATATCCCTGGTCCCCAAGCCCTCATCTACTTTTAAAATAGTAGATACATTATAACTCTCAAGCATAACTCATTATTCTTCTTCCTTGATTTCTATGAAGCTCATTCGTGAGACAAATATGTCCATTGAAGGGGGATAAAAAAAGAGAGGCATGATTCAGAAATGCAGAATTCAAGCATGCGTAGAAAGCAAAGAGATAAAAATTGGTTCCAGGGACTGGAGTGATAATACAGCAGGAGGATAGGCCTTTCATGCAGCTGACCCAAGTTCCATTCCTGGCAGCCCGCACGGTCCCCTGATACCCCACATAAGTGATCCCTGGACACAGTGCAGGGAAGAGAGCTGAGCACCACCAAGCATGGCCCAAAATTTAAAAAAAAAAAAAAAAAAAAAAAAAAAAAAAAAAAGGAACCTGTAAGTCAATGACCTAGGTTGCTTTAAAAAAATTATCTGTGATGAAAAGAACATTATTTTTATCTGACAGGAAGCTAGAAAGTCATGAATTAGAATTTACTGACTCTTAAAACTGGTAAAGGGCCAGGAAGATTGATCAAAGGACTAGAGGGCCTGCTCTGCATGCAGGAACCTTGGGCTCAAGTCCTGGCACCTCTTGGTCTCCTTGAACGCTGCTGGTGCAACTGGGAGCCGAAAAACAAAACAAGCTACTGTCTGGGCCAGGAACGTTGCTCAGTGGTAAGGTTTATGCTTTGAGCATATCTCTGGGCCCAAAACGGATTCCTTACAGGACTAACTTGCTGTAGCTGTTCTTAAACAAAAGAAAAAAAAGAAAAGAAAAAACAAAAGAAAATCCTATCATTTCTTCACCATCTTCACAATTTTTCTCATAGCTATTGCTAGAAATTTTGCCATCACTTCTTTTAGGTCATCTGTATTTCCCATAAACACCTCAATATTCACATTTCAATAATTCTTAGGAATAGCACTGTTTTAGTGCTTTCGAAATTGTAACTGCTGAAATAATGCCAATGTATTGTCTTTAGTAATCTTTTATCTCAACACTTAAAAAACTCAATTATATTTTGGGTGACTTTTTTTGCTATCATCCCATTTTTTTTCTTTTTGGACCATACCCAGTGATGCTCGGGTTTTACTGCTGGCTCTGAGCTCTGGGATCACTCTTGGCAGGGCTCAGAGGACCATATGGGATACTGGGGATAGAATGGGTCATCCACATGCAGGGCAAGTGCCCTACCTACTGAGGTCCCAGGATTTTTGCTTTTACTCTTTATTTTTCTCCCATTTTTCTATAGTGTTGCAGGGATTATCGGTCACACAAGCACCTGGCTGTTGTGTTTAATAGGGGTTACTGCCTGCTGTGTACTCTTGCATCTATCTTTGTTGTGGAGCTTGTCAGAGGCTGTATGTTTTAGGTGTGGTGCTGGGTATCACACACTGCAGAATTGTACTCTGCAAATGCAGATGCATCGCTGAGCTATTCCTCTGAGTCCCCTGAAATTAAGTTTTAATCGATTTATTTTTTGGCTTTGAGGGCTACATCAGGAGGGCTAACTTCTGTCTGTGTTCAGGGATCACTCTTGGCAGGGCTCAGGAGATCATATGGGACGCTGGGGATCGAACCCTGAGTCAGCCAAGTGCAAGGCAAGTGCCTCACCCACTGAACTATCTCACCAGACCCTCAAAAACTGGACTCATAAAAATGGACTCAAATTAAATGGAGGTAACAGAAGGCTTACACTCAATAGAAAGGTATGGAGGAAACGCAAAAGTCCTGTAAATGAATTTTGTCAGTTTAATATCTTAGAACTACTTTTTTTTTTTTTGCTTTTTGGGTCACACCAGGCGATGCAAGGCAAATGCCCTACCTGCTACACTATCGATCCAGCCCCATAGGAAAATGTTTTTTAAGAGAAAAAATATCTTTTATATTAAACCACAGGGTTTACTAGCCTTTATTTACTCAGTTCAAAAACCACACTGAGGAACAGAAAGTTTCTGAAAGACCTCTTTGGAGAAACAAAAAGGTCCATTTGAAGAGATGATAGCAGGTTTGGGGGCTGGAGAAATAGCATGAGATTTAAGGAACTGATCTTGCACACGAGGGACACCAAGTACGTTGTACTGATTCCCAGCACCGCATGGTGGTCACCACCTCCACCTCCTCACTCCCATTTGATCCCTGACTCCACCCAACCTCACCACATGTGTGGCCCAAAAACCAAATAAAGATACTAGCAGTTTTCAACCATAAAGACTACCACCAACCTCCCAACTAGAAATGTAAAATTGAGTACTGTACCCACAGAGCAGAATCTCAAAATTATTTTAGGATTTTACCGTAATTTTTTTTTCTTACTTCTATATTAATAGATTGTAGCACTGTCCTCCCGTTCTCAAATGGGCTGGAGCGATAGCATAACGGGTAGGGAGTTTACCTTTCATGCCACCGACCTGGCGATTCCCCCGCCCCGCTCAGAGAGCCTGGCAAGCTACCAAGAGTATCTCACTTGCATGGCAAAGCCTGGAAAGTTCCCTGTGGCATATTCAATTTGCCAAACATAGTAACAACAAGTCTCACGATGGAGACGTTACTGGGCCTGCTCGAGAAAATCAATGAACAACGGGAGGACAGTGCTATAGTGCTACTATTAGAATAAAAAACGAGTTTTATAGTATGAGACATCATGGGATATCTCTAACAACTGGAGTCCTTCTCCACTCTCTACACACACACTCTCCCCCCCCCCCCCAGATTCCACCTGGAGTCCTTCTCCACTCTCTACACACACACTTTCTCTCTCTCTCTCTCTCTCTCTCTCTCTCTCTCTCTCTCTCTCTCTCTCTCTCACTCTCTCTCTTCCCCCAAATGGGAAAAAATAAAAGAAGGAAAAATAAAAGCATTCATTCTATTGGCTGATCTCAAGTGATACTGTACTGGCTAACGTCTCTCTCTCTCCTGGATTCCACCTGGAGTCCTTCTCCACTCTCTACACATACACACACCCCACCACGATCGATTCCTTCTCAATTCTCTACACACACACACACACACTCACACAGACACATACACACATCACCTGAACTAAGTAAGTACACAGAGCACAAAAGCTCCTAGTTCTAATGACAGATTTTCCAAAAGCTAACAGCTACTTTTCTTGTTACCCACTGATAGTTATTGAACTGTGGGAAGTCAGTAGCTCTAATATGATGTCACTTTTTTTTTTAGTAATAAATCAGCAACTCACAAGTTTTCAGCTTTTATTTATGATAACTGTGATTTTATCTGCCCCCATGAAAATCTAGTTTAGGTTATAAAATATTATGAAGAATCTTTTCCATATCATCTAAAGACATTATTTATCTTCTCCTTTTCTCCCTAGGCAGAAAATCTTTCAAATCCAAATGCCAAACAGTTATTAACCTAAAATAAAACTGCTTACCATGATACCACCATTTTGTTTTCTTTGGATTCTTGTTACATGTTCGAACATAAAAAGAATTATCTGGTGGTCGTCTCTGAAACAAACAAAAAAGTTTATATAAATAAGCTGTAAAATAGAAAAACAGTTGAGGTATTAATAAATAAAAGCACTAACAAAATCATTCTGGAATGCATAGCAACCAACAGAAACACCTTGCACTTTACCATTAAAAATACTGTAATAATATTCCAGGAAATATTAACACTGAAATTGTTAATAAACAGGAGGGTGGGATGTGGTGATGAGAAAGGTTCCAGTAGACTATACTAAAGAATGACTTTCAACCAAAGTGGCCGTATTAGATTGTGAGAAATTTTGATTCATTGATCTTCTTCGAAACAACTACTTCCGTGGCCCAATGAAAACAGTAGCAATAGGCCAGAAACAGCTCAGTGCTAAGTGCAAGTTTTGCACGTACAAGGGCCAGATTTAATCCCTGGTATCAAATACTCTCCAGCACTGAACTAGGGAATCACCCCCGAGCATCACTGGGTATGGTTTGAACTTCCTCCTGTCCACAAAAAAGTAAGCCTTGTAGTTTACCTACAAGGTTAAAAACAAAAAAAGGCAACTAATAAACTTGCACAAAAGATTAATGTCTGAGTATTACCAAGAACAGATCAAAGGACTCAGTTTCCAAACAATGCATGAGTAAGAAGTGGAGAAGCTGGGATCACAGAGACAGTGTAAGTACAAGGGTTAAGGCGCTTGCCTTGCAACCAGCTGACTCCATCTACTTCAATCCCCAGTACAGCCAATAGCAGAGCCAGGAGTAAGCCTGAGCACTGCCGGGTGTGACCCAAATAAAACAAAAAAAACAAAACAAAAAGCAACTTCGGGCAGCTGTATTAAGATGAGGACAAGCACAACCCAGTATAGTTAAGAATACCTGCAAAATAAATAAATAAATAAATAAATAAGGATTCAACTTCTATTACCATAGAAAATAATTTCATAAAAATTTTGTAAGTGAGGCTGGAGCAATAGCACAGCGGGTAGGGCATTTGCCTTGCATGCGGCCAAACTGGGTTTGATTCCCAGCATCCCATATGGTACCCCAAGCACCGCTGAGAGTGATTTCTGAGTGTAGAGCCAGGAGTAACCCCTGAGCATAGCCGGGTGTAACCCAAAAACAAAACAAAAGACAAAAAAAAATTTGTAAGTATATTTATAAGACCCCAAATGGGAAAAAATAAAAGAAGGAAAAATAAAAGCATTCATTCTATTGGCTGATCTCAAGTGATACTGTATTGGCTAACGTCAAGAGTCAAGGGACATGTGGTCCCTTTAAGCACCACCAGGAGTGACCCTTAATCTCAGAGTAGGTAATTCCCCCCACAAACAAACAAACAAACAAACCAAACACATAAAGTAAAACTTAAAGAACCATGTTCACCAGAGAATAAAACTGACCTTTTTAATTTAAGGGCTTCAGGTGAACATTTATTTTGGTTTTGGGGGTCACACTCAGCTGAGCTTGGGGCTTACCATACTCAGGGATCACTCCTGGAGGGCTTACAGACCACATCAGGTGCTGGGGATCAGACCTAGCAAGTGCCTTACCTGCGATCACTATCACTCTGGCCCCTCAGATGAACATTTAGAAAACTTTAAAGTTCACATGGAGGTGGGGAGATAGTACAGTGGGTAAGACTCTTGCCTTGCAATCACCTGACCCGGGTTCTATGGTCCCCAAGTGGTCCCCGACCAGTGCTAGGAATAACTCCTGAGCATTGCCAGTGTGACCCGAAAAGTTGAAAATCAAACAAAAAACCAAAGGCAAACTTTGGGGTCATGGATGTTGCTCGATGATAATTAATGTATGCCTTATAAATGCGAGCTTTCCCCCTGCCACTGCCAGGCTGTGGGAGGCGTGGGTGCTTTCAAGACTGGGTTCCATCCATCAACCACCACCACAGCCTGGGAGGGCACTGCAGCTGGAGTGCAATGGACATTGATACTGCATGACAGGAGATGCTGAAGGCTGCTGCCACACACGATGGCTTAGCACAAGGAATCCATATAGCTGCCAAAGTCTCAAACACCAATCCCATCTTGGTGTGCTCGCATCCAACTGTGAAAAGCCCATGTATGTCAAGTTGGCGGTGGCCCTTTGAGCTAAACCCCAGATCAACCTGACTGAGACCGATGACAAGAAATTAAGGAAATAGTTCAGCCTCTATAAAACTAACAGCAAGTGGAAAACCCTATTAAAGTGGAAGTCTGCAGTCATGGCTTATTTAAGAACCATGGCAAAGATTACAAGCCAAAGATTGCCATTGAGGAATATTTTAAATATAACAAGAGTTTTGGCTCTTAGAAAAATAATTGAAAAATAAATTAAAATATGTAATGTCCTAGGCTCAACCTTTGGAACACATACCACCAGACGCACCCCCCAACCCAATTTTTTAAAAAATTCTTAAATTTGGAGCTAGAACCCCTCAATGCCAAATTAAAATTGCTCTTCATCTTAATACCCTAGTCTAAATGCATAGTAAAAATAGCATGGTAAACACCTAATAAATGTGCTGAATATTTTATTTCATGAACTAATGATGTCATAATTCTGAGTTTCAGATTATGATCTTGGTTAAATATAATACAACTCAAAGTAATATATAGTAATAAATTATCAATAATTTAAATGGAACGATTAGCCATACATCAAGTATGCAAGAAATACTAATAACTGACAATTAAAATGTGCAAAAATGATAATGATTAGAAAAGGATGAAAGAAGTAAAGAATATGCCCATCTCCTTGTTTTTCTGCTTTATTTTGCTTTTGGGGAACAATATCCAGTTGTGTTGGGGAAACCATGAAGTGTAGGAGAACATAATCCAGTTTCTCTACGTAAAGCATGTACTTAGCTCATCACTCTATCTTGCCAGCATCATCATTATGTTTTATAATGCAAAGGTAAAGGTAAAGGTAAAGGCCCTCCCGTTGATCGTCGATTTGCTCGAGCGGGCCCAGTAACGTCTCCATTGGAGACTTTGTTGTTACTGTGTCTGGCATATCGAATACTCTCGGTAGCTTGCCGGGCTCTCCGAGAGGGGCGGAGGAATCGAACTCGGGTCGGCCATGTTGGCTGCGTGTAAGGCGAACGCCCTACCCGCTGTGCTATCGCTCCAGCCCTTGCATTTAAAAGTAAACAAGAGCTATTAAGTATTAACCCCATGCATGACATGTGTTAAATCCTCTGCTTATTAAATTGGGGTAGAGATACGGCAGAAGATAAAAATTTGGAAGCTGTAAATAAGAGTTATTTCCAGGGCTTGGAGTGATACACAAAGGATACGGCGTTTGCATGCAGCTGACCTAGGTTCAATTCCTGGCATCTCATATGGTCCCCCGAGCACTGCCAGGAGTAATTCCTGAGTGCAGAGCCAGGAGTAACCCCTGGGCATCACCAGGTGTGATCCAAAAAGCAAAAAAAAAAAAAAAAAAAAAAAAAAAAAAAGTTATTTCCAGAATCCTTGGGTCTACTAACAAAAAGACTTAAGTGTGCCTCAAAATGCCACTGGGGGGGGGGGGTGGGGGGGTGGGGGGGGGGCAGAGATAGTATAGTGGGTAGGGCACTTGCCTTGCACGCAGCCATTTGATCCCCATTATGCCATGGTTACCTGAGCACTGCCACGATTAATTCCTGAGTGCAGAGCCAGGGGTAAGCCCTGAGCATCATCATTAATGGCCCAACCCCCTCACTTCCCATCTCAAAAACAAACAAAAAAACAAACAAAAAAAACCCACAAAAAAACAAAACAGAACAAAACAAAACAAAAACCAACCCAGGTATATAGTGGGCTGGAGTGCATTGCTCTGCATGCTGGAAACCTGGGCCTGACCCCCGGCACAGCACGGCTCTCTGAGCATGGGCAGGGGCAGACCGCCAAGCACTGAGTCAGGAATAGCTAGCTCCTGAGCACTACTGAGGATGAGCCCCACAATTACAAATGAAAACTGATTCTAACATTACATAGTACATACACTTATTGAAATCTGTTCCAAGATGATGGTCCACATTAGCTTAGTGCTCAGGGATCCATGATGAAACCTGGTGCCAGGAATCACACTAGAAGTGTCTGAAAGCGGCTGCATGCAGGCTCAGAGCCTTACCTCCTGTACTCTCTCTCCGGCCCCAGAGGTCCTCTTTCTGCATGTTTACTTTGGGTCTCCCCAGCAGTGCTAAGGGGGCCCCTGCGTGATATTCGATCTTTAGTTTGGTGCTGTTCGAGACACCAGGCAGTGCTAGAGCAAACCCAGGGCACCTCCAAAAGACGTGCTCTCCGGGCCTTCAGCTGCCTCCCTAGTCCCTTTCTGCACATTTAATTTTCCTAAGTGAGCTACATGTCCTTTTATCCCCCCCTTCCAGTTTTGAAGCACACCCATGGTTACTCAGGTGCTATTCTTGGCTCTGTATTCAGGGCATCATATGTGATGCCAGGGATTCAAACCAGGGTGAGACGCGTGCAAGTCGAATGCTTTCACTTCTGTACTATTTTACCAGCCCAGAACCATGTCTTTTAACTAATGGTGTACCACAGTGCAACAGTCAGTTATTTTCTTTCTGATATGATGCATAACTTGCATAGGAAGGGCACTCAATGCTGTAATTCTCACGTGTATTTGAACTTCCTTCTAAAATAACAAGAGCCAACACCAAGAGGCCTGAGTTCAGCTTTCAGATCTGCATAAAGTCTTCTTAGCAGAGCCAGGAATAAGCCCTGACCATTGCACCAGAAGTAGTCCCTGAGCACTGCATACTCTGGCCCTCGCATTAGACTACTGGCCTGGCTGATCTTCCCCCATTCTCCCCCAAAAACATTTAAAAAATTCTCTAGGCATTAATAAAAATAGGCTGCAGGAGCCGGAGTGTTAGCACAGTGGGGAGGGTATTTGCCTTGCAAGCAGCTAACCTAGGTTCAATCCCTGGCATCCCATATAGTCCCCCGAACACTGCAAGGAGTACTTCCTGAGTACAGAGACAAGAGTAACTCCTGAGCATCATGGTTGTGATCCAAAGATGCCCTAAAAATAAATAATTAAATAAATAAATAAATCACGGTCACGGTCCTCCCGCTGTTCATTGATTTGCTCGAGCAGGCCCAGTAATGTTTCCATTGTGAGACTTGTTGTTACTGTGTTTGGCATATCGAATACATCACGGGGAGCTTGCCAGGCTCTGCCGTGTGGGCGAGATACTCTCGGTAGCTTGCCGGGCTCTTCGAGAGGGGCGGAGGAATCGAACTCGGGTCGGCCATCTTGGCCGCTTGTAAGGCAAACGCCCTACCACTGTGCTATCACTCCAGCCCAAATAAATAAATAAATAAATAAGAAAGAAAAAAAGAAGGGCTGTAGAGATGGCTGTAGTGCAAAATTTCCAGGCAGGGATCCTGGGCTTCATCCTGGACACTGCATGTTCTATGGAGCACTGTCAGGAGTAAACCCTGAGCATAGAGGCAGGAGTATTATCTCCAGGTACAGCCTAAAGACAAAATTTTTTTAAATGATAGTTCAAGTTAGAGACCATGAATTTTAAAAATGACCTCATGCAGTCAAGTTCCCTAATCTCTGCCTCTTTTGGCTTGGGGGGTAGGGGGGAGGAGAGAAAATAGGGAGAAGGCCACATTAGGAAGTACTTAAGAGCTACTCCTGACAGTCGTGCAGTACTGGGAGTTGAGACCCAGGTGTCTGCAAGCAAAGCAGTGCTCTAGCCCTCTGAGCTCTCTCCTCAACTCAAAGCTCCCTAATTTGAAGAAAATGTTTCTTCTTTTAATAGACTGTAAAAGAAAGAGACATGTGGAGGAGAGAGAATTTAAACTGAAAAAAGACAGGGCTGAGCACATGTTCGATATGCAGGACGCCCTGGGTTCAATTCCTGGTGCCACACGGTCCCTCCATGCAGAGTTAGAAGAAACTGGAGTACAGCAGGGTATGGCCTCCCTGCCCAAAGCCCTGCAAGAAAAGGAAACAACAACAACAAACAAAAACCAAAAAACCAAAAACACCAACAGAAATAGCTTGAAATGTGGCCCAGTGGGAGAATGCCATGCATGTATGAGGTGCTGAGTCTGAACTTTGGTACAACAAACAGAAAATAAACTCTATAACCAGTGCTATATACTAACGCCTTCAGCAGAAGTAACTACAGGACCAGGAAAGCAGAGACTTTAAATACTTTCAAAGGAGAATCCTAAATTTAACTCAGGTGATTTTTCTTTCGGGTCACATAACCAGCCTTTATCAGACATCGAATTTGTGCACGAGTACTGAAGAGTAAGAAAAAAGTCCTTGGGGCTGGAATGATAGCACAGCGGGCAGGGTGCTTGCCGTGCACATGGCTGACTCGGGTTTGATTCCCAGCATCCCATATGTTCCCCTAAGCCAGGAGTAATTCCTGAATGCAGAGTCAAGAGTAACCCCTGTACATTGCCGGGTGTCTCCCAAAAAGAGAAGAAAAAAAAGTCCTTAAAATTATTATGGTATACTAGTTCTCGTCTGACCTAATGATTACAATAGGAAAGCTGTTCTAGAAATTCTCCCTGGAAGAAGCTGCTAAGATGGGCGATAACAGAGAGGAGGAAAAGGTAGGTACGATGCTTATTTCTAGGGCTTTGCACTGTGAAATCGATAAACAAGAAATCTTCAGATAATTTTACCCTGCACAGAAATAAAATTCACATTATTTTAAAACATCTGCAGAAACTTCTTGTTCAAGAAATATAAAACAGTAAGTCTGATTTTTGTTTGAAATAAAAGATTATCAAAATAATTTTCCAACTTAATACTTAAGACATTTTCGACAAGAAATTTTATAACAATCACTAAGAACTTCCTTAAACTAAATTATATATTAAAGTGATTTTCCTACCCAACTAAAGCAAGCAGTCATCAGGAATAATTCTGAAAAACTCCTACCTTTTCTTTGCAGCTGGAAAGCATGCTAATAATGCTAAGACAAACGGACTGGACTGAAAGCGCTGGGGACCAGTCTTCTGTTAGAATGGATAAACAGATATGACCATTGCTATAAACATGAGGATGAACAGGGATATTTTCACCAGTAAACATGACCTAAGAAAGAATGAAATTCCATTAGCACTCAAATATTCTACATTACCAAAAACTAAAATGTTCTCTACATAACTTTATATTTTAAAGAACAAACTGAGTACAAAGAAAATCACTGCCAGAAACAAAATAAACCGCTTGTTGTTATCCTCATTAATTCAGAAAATACTGGTTTCACTGTATAAATGACCACATAGTACTAAAAAAAGTCAACTACTTAATATTTCAGTTATTTAACAAATTTCCTTTAATAAATATTAAGTCATGTATTTTTACACTGATGACAGAAAACTGCTGGCATTTTTTAAATTCTACTACTCAACACACATAAATCCAATATGAATACATGTGTCACCCAAGGTGCTACAAGCAAAAGGAAATGATTGTTACATATTTCACTTCTTCTATACTAGTCATTATGATGGACACAAACGGCTATGCCAATCAGGGATTAACCTCGTGCCTCAACAAATAAAGGCTAAATGAGTCTCTCCATTACAGGACTTGCTATTTTTCTCCATTTCTATATAATTCTACACAATTCTTCATTTTTTCCTTTTTCCATCTTGCCTCTGCAGTGTTTTAAAAGGCACTAAGCCTATTATTTCTTTATTTTGCCTGAATAATTAAACATGGTTCTGAATAGTAGGGTTTCAAATCTAGATAGGAAAGTCAATTTGTATATCCCAAGGAAAATGCAAGCATGGTGGTCCAAAGTAGGCCCAAAATGTCTCATATGAAAGAATGTTCTTAAGTGTCACTTCATAAAAGTTGATATTAAAGTTAACCGACCAAGCTTTAAGTGAATTTTAAATTGCAGCACAAAGCATTACTTCAATTATTTTTCAGTAGTAATTTCCAATTCCTAACTCGGCCTTGAAAAAAAAATAACCTTAAAATTTTAGAAAATACATTCACTTATATAGATCCAGTTGACATAACAGGCCTTTCTAACATCTACCATATATAAACTAATAGTTCCCAAACCAGACTTAGATCATTTTTCTTAACCCAGCTAAAAACTATCTCACATACAAATGTACCAATATTTTAGTAAGAACACCTAACCTTAAGTTATAACAGAAATTGGTGAAATATATACCGCTCTAGGGACAGCCTTACCCAATCCCACACCCCTATTCAACAAAGCAAGAAACAGAACCAGTGAATTAAGTGTTACCCAGAGTAACACAGTAGTTGAATACACTAATATTTACAATTTAACAAAGCAGTCTTTCATAAGTAGTTCTCTAATATTTCAAGTATACGAACACATGGGATTCATTTTCGTGGCTGAAGCGAAAACAAGAAAGCAAAAGGAATTTCAAAGGAATGACTCCACTGCTGCATATGTTCTTCAGCTTTAGTCTTTGGAAATCCACCCTCCATTCCCACTAAAGTAGAGCTAACCATATCACTTAATCAGCAGTCTAAATCAAAGGAGGAAATGGACATTTAAGTTATTTGGAGGTATTTAAGTTGGTTCTGAAAACTTGAGGTTCTTTCTAAATTTCAAGACTTTAGCTTTATTTATTTTTCTTGGTTTGGGGGCCACACCCAAGCAATGCTCTTTGCTTTGTACTTCTGGCGGTGCTCGGGGGATCATATGGGCTATCAGGGATGGAACCCAGGTTGGCCAAGTACAAGGCAAACACCCTACCTAGTGTTCTATCGCTCAGGTCCCTCGAAGCTTTACTTCAAGCGGTTTTTTTTTTCTTTTTGGGTCACACCTGGCAAAGCACAGGAGTTACTCCTGGCTCTGCACTCAGGAATTACTCCTGGAAGTGCTCAGGGAACCATATGGGATGCTGGGAATCAAATCCGGGTCATCCGCATGCAAAGCAAACATCCTACCCGCTGTGCTATTGCTCCAGCCCCCTACTTTAAGAGTTTTAAATAAACTACTAAAATTACCCAAAACAGATCTGACAAAACAACTGAATACAATAAATGTGAACTTGCCAGGAACAAATAATAACTTTGCTAATTTATTTATTTTTTGGTTTTTGGACCACACCCAGCAGTGCTCGATGCCAGGAATAAAATTCAGGACTCAGGGATCCACAGGGCTCTAGTCCTTTGAGCTATCTCTCAGCCCTTCTTAATTTTAAAATAATTTATTCGAAGGAATTACACAGACTAAATAGCAAATAAAGAACTGCACACAATTCTGACTGCTTACACTGAATAAAATGCAACTGGTTTTTGTTTGTTTTGAGGCAACAACCAGAGATCCAAGGAGCACTACACAGTTCAGTGCACAGGGTCACTCCCGGGGTGCTCGGAGACCATGAGGTAAAAGGGATCAAACTCAGGGCTCCTGCATGTGACGCATGCATTTCAGCCCTTGGACTACAGTGCACTTTCAAATAATTAGAGATTTTTAAGAACAAACTATTGATGCAGGGAAAGCCACAATTTTAGGGAAAAAAGGACGCAAGGTTCAAGTCACAGGTAAGGGGCTAGAGTGATAATACAGAGGATAGGGGTGTTGTATTCGTGTATGCGTCCCACAAGGATTTGATCCCCAGTATCACATATGGTCCAAATTTCAAAACTTTAGCTTTATTTATTTTGAGTATCACCAAAAGTAATTCCTGAATGCAGAGCTAGGAGTAACCCCTGAGCATCACTGGATGTAACCCACAAAGCCAAAAAAAAAAAAAAAAACCCCAAACCCACCCAACAACAAAAATCACTGTTGGAATTGAGTCTGCCATAGAAGTAATCCTCAGATGATCCTCAAATGTCACTTTATTCCAAACATACTAGTGTGGCTCATTTTTTAGGAGCACTTGAGCTAAGAACAATACTTTATAGCACTGCAGCACTGTCCTCCCCTTGTTCATCCATCTGCTTGGGCGGGCACCAATAACGTCTCCATTGTGAGATTTGTTACTGTTCTTGGCGTACTGAATACGGCACGGGGAGCCTGCCAGACTCTGCCATGTGAGTGGGATATTGTCAGTAGCTTGCCGGGCTCTCCAAGAAGGACAGAGGAATCGAATCTGGGTCGGCCGCGTGCAAAGCAAACACCCTACCCGCTGTGCTATCGCTCCAGCCCAAGAACAATAAATAAATAAAATAGTGAAGATGAACATGCACATCCCACACCTACTGAAAAAACTTTTATGTCTATTTTTTGGGGCTAATTGCCGTCCTGGCTGGTGCTGAGAGATCACGTGGAATTGGTGATCAAATCTGGGGTTTCAACATGAAAAACATACACCCTTGTCCTCTGCATTATCTTCCTGGCCCCTCAAAAAAATTTTGTTTTGGGGCCATACCTGGTGATGCTCAGGGGTTACTGTTAGTTCTGCAATAAGGAATGACTCCTGGTGGTGCTCAGGGTATCGTGTGGAATCCCAGAGATCAAACCTGGGACAGTCGCATGCAAGGGAAGCATCCAGCCCACTGTGCTATCTCAAGCCCCGTAACCAAAATTTATTTATTTATTCAGGCTTTTTGGGTCACACCCTGCAATGCTCACGTTACTCCTGGCTCTACACTCAGGAATTATTCCTGGTGGTTGGTGCTCGGGAGACCATATGGTATGTCGGGGATCGAACCCGGTGTGGCCCCTTACAAGGAAAACGGGCTACTCACTGTACTATCACTCTGACCCATGACCAAAAATTTTAAGCAAACCAAGCTCTGTATAACTTCTGGTATTAAATGTAGTATGGTTCATGCAACTACTAATACCTAAACTAAAATTTACCGAATAGAGATAAAATAAAGGATATTACATTAGCTATTTCTGAGAAGAATTTCGTAGTGCTAAATTCTATGAAGAATTTCACATACATGAGACTTTTCAAACCTAAAAGTTAATACTGAGTGGCCATACAGTATTGAGATCATGCTTAGACATACTACTGTGTTCAGATGTGTTCTGAAAATAATTAGAAAGCCAGACACCTAATTAAATAAGGCTAAAGTAGAGAGGGTAAGAGAAATAGCTCAAAGATCTGCTTTGCATGCATAAGGGCTTTGCATGCACAAGGGCCAGGTTTGATCCCCAGCACTGCAGGATCCCAAGTACACCAAGAGGTTCTTCTGAGCAGAGACCAGAGTAACCCCCAAGCACTGATAGGTATCACTCCTGACCCCCCCCAAACAATTAAAATTTTAAATAGGGCCAGAAATGATACAAAGAGCTTACCTTTTATGCAGCTGACCTCTCTAAGATCCCTATCACCACATATGCTCCCCAACTCCTCACGGCCAGCACTGCCAGGGGTGACCCCTGAGCACAGAGCCAGGAAGAGCCCCTGAACACTACTGAGTGTGGCCCCCAAACCCAAAAGTAAACATATAAAGTATATATGCAATGTGTGGCATAAATTTGGCTATAATTATGAAAATTAACCTATAAAATGAATACAAAGGTTCTCTAAGGTATTCTAGTATGAAGGAATGTTTTCTCTAACATAAAATATAGTCAGGCTATATAGTATAAATGGTAAAAACTAACTACAGTAACTGGGAATAGGAACTTAGGCGTAATTTTTAATTCAATTCTCCCCTTGTAGTCCTCCACTATGTCTGAGCAGAACTAACAGTAATAGTTTTACTGGTGCTTCATACTATCACACTATGTGGCTATGATGTGTTGCAAAGACAATGTTCCTGGATATAATAAAACTCATTTCGTGTTCCCTTTAATGCCAACCATTCTTTCAGACCTGTGTTCCTCTAGCCTATCTACCCGCATCTCCATTTCCCATCAGTCACAGACTGCAGGAAATAAGATGCACTCCTCCCCCCTCCTCAGCATGTAAACATGACAACTGAAGGCAACAAGTTTTTGTTCGAGACTACCACTCCTAAGAGGAAGTTCAAAGGATGAGGACACTATAAAAATAGGTTCAGAATCCACGCAAATGAAGGAATTCCGAACAATAAGAGAGTCTGTGTGAAGAGGACAAGAATAGGAGAGGGAACAAGGGTAAGTGTAAAGTAATGACTCTTCCTAAAGTTTTATAATCGAGGCAAGTAAA